GCAGAAACACCAGAAGAGAGACTAGATAACTTGGATCTCCTAAAAATCAAACACTTACGCTCATCGAAAGACTTCACCAGAAGAGTAAAAAGACAACCTACAGACTGGGAAAAAAATTTTGGCTACGAGAAATCTGATCAGCATCTAATCTCTAAAATCTACAAGATACTGCAAACCTCAACAACAAAAAGACAAATAACCCAGTTAAAAACTGGGAAAGGATATGAACAGGCACTCTGCCAAAGAAGACATTCAGGTGGCTAACAGACACATGAAGAAATGCTCATGATCATTAGCCATTAGAGAAATGCAGATCAAAACTACAATGAGATACCATCTCACCCCAACAAGGCTAGCATTAATCCAAAAAACACAAAATAATAAATGTTGGAGAAGTTGTGGAGAGACTGGAACACTTATTCACTGTTGGTGGGAATGTAAAATGGTACAACCACTTTGGAAATCGATTTGGCGCTTCCTTAAAAAGCTAGAAATGGAAGTACTATACGATCCAGCAATTCCACTCCTTGGAATATATCCTAGAGAAATAAGAGCCCTCACACGAATAGATATATGCACGCCCATGTTCGTTGCAGCACTGTTCACAATAGCAAAAAGATGGAAACAACCTAGGTGCCCATTAGTGGACAAATGGATAAACAAATTATGGTATATCCGCACAGTGGAATACTACGCAATGATAATGAACAGCAATGAATCTGTGAAACATAACATGGAGGGATCTGGAACACATTATGCTGAGTGAATTTAGTCAGTCACAGAAGGACAAATATCGTATAAGACCACTATTATAAGAACTCAAGAAAAGGTTTAAACAGAAAAAAAACATTGGTGGTTATGATGGTGGGGAGGGAGGGAGAGGGTTATTCACTAGATAGTAGACAAGAATTATCTTAGGCGAAGGGAAGGACAGCACACACTACAGGGGAATTCAGCACAACTGGACTAAACCAAAGCTAAGAAGTATCCTGAATATAGCCAAACACTTCAAGGGACAGAGTAGCAGGGGCAGAGGTCTGGGGACTGTGTTTCAGGGGTCATCTAGGTCAGTTGGCATAACAAAGTTTATTAAGAAAATGTTGTGCATCCTACTTTGGTGAGTGGCGTCTGGGGCCTTAAAAGCTAGTGAGCAGCCATCTAAGATGCATCATTTGGTCCCAGCTTACCTGGAGCAAAGGAGAATGAAGAACACCAAAGTCTCAAGGAAAGCATTAGCCCAAGAGACAGAAAGGGCCACGTAAACCGGAAACTGCAACAGCCTGAGACCAGAAGAACTAGATGGTGCCGGCTACCATCAATGACCGCCCTTACAGGGAACGCAACAGGGAGTCCCTGTTGATGCAGGAGAAAAGTAGGCTGCAGAACTCAAATTCACGTAAAAAGACCAGACTTAATGGTCTGACTGAGACTGGAGGAACCCCAGAAAGCATGGCCCCTGGACTCTTTGTCAACCCAGCACTGTAACCATTCCCGAGGCCAATTCTTCAGTCAAAGATTCGACTGGACTATGGGACATAAAACGATACTCATGAAGAGTGTGCTGCTTAGCTCAAGTAGATACATGAGACTAAATGGGCAGCTCCTGTCCGGAGGTGAGATGAGAAGGCAGAGAGGGTCAGAAACTGGTTGAATGGACATGGGAAATCGGGTGGAAAGGAGGAGTGTGCTTTCATAGTATAGGGAGAGCAGGTAAGGTCACATAACAATGTATGTATAAATTTTTGTATGAGAGACTAACTTGAATTGTAAACTTTCACTCAAAGTACAATAAAATAAAATTTTTTAAAAATACCATATTTACATGAGAATAAAAACAGAATAAAAAGTCCTTACAGTTGGATCAGTAAGCAACAGCATGCTAAACATAGAAAAGATTGAAGTTGTCAAGGATTTCATTTTACTTGGATCCACAATCAACATCCATGGAAGCAGCAGTCAAGAAATCAAACAACACATTGCATTGGGCAAATCTACTGCAAAAGATCTCTTTAAAGTGTTAAAAAGTAAAGATGTCACTTTGAGGAGTAAGGCATGCCTGACCCAAGCCGTGATGTTTTCAGTTGCCTCATATGTCTGCAAAAGCTGGACAATGAATAAGGAAGAGTGAAAAAGAATTGATTCCTTTGAATTATTGTGTTGACGAAGCATGTTAAATATAATATGGCCTGCCAGAAGGTCTGTCTTGGAAGAAGTACAGCCAGAATGCTCCTTAGAAGTGAGGATGGCGAGACTTTGTCTCATACACTTTAGACATGTTTTCAGGAAGGGCCAGTCCCTGGAGAAGGACATCATGCTTGGTAAAGTGGAGGGTCAGTGAAAAAGAGGAAGACCCTCAGCAAGATAGATTAACACAGTGGCTGCACAATGCCTCAAAGATAATGTATGGATCGAATTATGTCCCCGCAAAATGTGACTAGGCCTTGATTCCCAGTATTGTGTGACTGTCCACCATTTTGTTGTCCGATGTGATTTTCCTATGTGTTGTAAATCCTACCTCTATGATGTTAATGAGGCAGGATTAGAGGCAGTTATGTTAATGAGGCAGGACTCAGTCTACAAGATTAGGTTGCATCTTGAGTGAATCTCTTTAGAGATATAGAAGAGAGAAGCAAGCAGAGAGGTGGGGACCTCATACCACCAAGAAAGTAGTGACAGGAGCATGCACGTCCTTTGGACTTGAGGTCCCTGAACTGAGAAGCTCCTAGACCAGGGGAAGATTGATGACAAGGACCTACCCCCAGAGATGACAGAGAGAGACAGCCTTCTCCTGGAGCTGGCACCCCGAATTCAGACTTCTAGCCTCCTAGAGTGTGAGAGAATAAATTTCTGTTTGTTAAAGCCACCCACTTGTGGTATTTCTCTTATAGCAGCACTAGATAACTAAGACGCATAGTAAAGATTGTGAGGATGGCGCAGGAACGGGCAGGTGTTTCATTCTGTTGTACATAGGGTGGCTTGCTATGAGTCGGAACTGACTCGACAGCCCCTAACAACAGCACACTAATAACAATTTTCTTTGGACATTGAAAGTGGTACCTAGAATCTTTTTAAACATAAAGGTATTTCAAAGCTGAACTTGATTATGAGACTTTTAATACATCTTTATGTTTTTTTTGTTCTTGGATGAAAGCTGTTACTTAGATTTGCTTTGGTATTTTTAGATATTAATCAAGTTGTTATTTCATTATTTTCAAATCAGTCCTCTTCAGGAAATAGATGACTTAATGTCATCATGATTATTATGATATTTTTTAGATGTATTGAAATTCTTTTCGTAGGTTTCATTTTTATAGCACAACTTAGCTAGCTACTGTGTTACAGAGGAGAAATTCTGCTTACTGTGGCATGATGGAGCTAGCTACATGATTCTAGAGAAATAAATTTTGAGTCGGGGGTGTGGCTAGCTAGAAGTAAAACATGGACTCTAAGGAACTAATTTGCGTTTTGAAATTTTGGTTTTTGTTGGCAGAGGAGAGTAGGATATAAATGATTAAGCAAAACTGGAAAGTATTTTTTTTCTTCATTATTAGCCTTAATATAATAGAAATTATTGTAAATGATTTTTTTAACCCTTCAGATATCTTCATACTTGGAAATAAAATGAATTGTGTCTAATGATACGCTCTTTATCTTCCCATTTATATCTGTCGCCTATATTTTCTGTCCTGATTGAATAGCATAACTATCAAGCCCAAAGCCTAACAGTCTCTACTCCTTTATCTTCCTCATACCCTATATATACATTTCTAATTATTTAACAGCTCTCATAGTTGTGCCCTTCCCATCATTCCCTGTTGATGCTGTTTTTTCTTAGGCCCTCATTATCTTTCATCCTTTATAAGGTTTCACTGTATAGAGTTAGCGGGGGAGGGGGATGATGGAACTGTTCTTTATTATTATTTTGATCGTGGTTATATTAATCTATACATATGTTAAAAATCAAACTATTTTTTGTCTTGTCATAATATTGTTATTTAAATGTTTCTTTGCCATTCGTTCAAAATAGAATTTACCAATAAATCAACAAGTAAATACAGAGTACACGGCTCAAGGCATTGTCCTAAGTGCTGAGAAAGATACAAACATTCAGAAAACATGTTTCTGCCCTGAAGGGATTTATATTCTAATAAGATAGAGGGAGACAACACAAATAGCAATAATAAGATAAATTGTAATTGTCTCTTAAGGAGAGAAAACAATATGTTAGTTTGTTCTAGGAGGAAGAAAATAATTCTCATTAGAGCAGTAGGATAATTCTTCATTGAAGACAGGCATTTGAGCTGAGGCCTGGAAAATGCATTAATTTTTGGTAGTCAAAAATCAAGGCAAAGGGCAGTCTGATAGGAAGGAAAAATATAGCACACTTTACAGATTTGCAAGTTTTCCTATTCATAGCTCATTCAAACTTTGGATTTATACTTGATAAATGTTCATGTTGTATTCTGGTCTGTGCAGAAATTCTTAAAGCATTTGAGTCTGAAGCTCAGATTTCTCAAGTAGTATTATGGTTTTTTAAGTGTTTTGCAGTTAATAATTTAGGTCTTTTTTTTTCTTCTAATTTTAATGGCTGCGTAGACAGTGAGCTATTCCTGCCTTAATTTCGTGAATACCAAATCAAACCTGTTGCTGTCGAGTCGATTCTGGCTCCTGGTGACCCTACAGGACAGAGTAGAACTGTCCCCATAGGGTTTCCAAGGAGCAGCTGGTAGACTTGAACTGCCGGCCTTTTGGTCAGCAGCCGAGATCTTAACCACTGAGCCTCCAAGGCTCCTAGTTTAGTCAGTAGATAATAAATATATAAGTGGAAACTGATAATTCTGAAAAAAGATTGAGTAAAATTTTCTATTTACAGAGTTTTCAGAATGTACAATCTTATAAAATATTTCTTTCCAAAATTGCTTTCCTCCCCTTTTTCCTACTTAGGTGAATAAATCAATTCTGATGAAAAGTAACGATAATTTATTTTTATTTTGTCAAAGGTTTTCTGTGAAGACCCTGATTGATCGGTCCTGCTTTGAGACAATTGATGATTCTTCTCCTGAATTTAACAATTTTGCAGCTATTTTGGAACAGATTCTAAGCCACCGGCTAAAAGGTAATAGCACCAATGTTTTATTTTTTCCCTCTTTGTAATAAACTCAAAATTTTATAAACAATTCAGTCTAGTGTCACTTAGACAGCAGCCTCAGAGCATCTTGAGAAGTAATAAAGCTAACTTCAGAATGCCTCATCTTTTGGCCTGTATCTTTAGAAAAGAATCACTATTCTTGAGTTTACACTTGTTTCTAGGATGCATTAAAGATGTTGCATGTATTAATTGCACGTACAAGGAACAAAGTCACTTTCCACAAGCAAATAAAATAAAATCTTGAATTAAAAGTTAGCCAAGGTCACTACAGAATATTTTAATCAACTTACAAGGAAGTACTCCAGGCATTAAGTTTGTTTGCTTAGCTTCTATTTCCTTAAACCCTGAAATATTTGAAAATTTTTTAGCAATAAGTAAGTTAAAAAGGGAGTATGTAAATAGGTACTTGACTTTGGTTTCCTTAAAATTAATGAGCAAATATATTTATACCAGAAACATATATCTCTTAAAATGAGGCTTTAAAGGGGAATAGGGGAGCTAAATTCTCTGTAAAGTATACCTTTTTTAATTTGTATGTGTGTGTGTGTGTATATGTATATATATATGTGTGTGTGTGTTAAATACAGTGGATAACATCAAGAAATACTATATAGTATAACTTTTCATAAAAATAAAAAATAACTTTGTCACTTTTAATTCCTTAAAGGAAACTTCATCATCAGAAATTTTCACTTAAGTTTTTATTATCTTTGTACTTTTAATGATATAATTTCAAACCAGTAATCTGCTTTGGTAATATAACTTATTAGAATCTCAAAATCAAACTGAAGGTTAATTCTGTTTTATACTTTTTAAAGCTGAAAATGTCCAAGTTGTACTATAAGTGTTTAAATCAGTTCAGCAATCATGTGGGTCCATAGCAAAGGGTTGAATTCAGTTCCATGGGAGAAAAATCTAAATTCAGTCAGCCCTTTCCAATTTAAAATGAGTTCCATAAAATCACTGACCTTTTTCTGCTGAAAGTGGTTATTTTGCATTTATAAAAGCTTAGGTGCAATACAGATTAGTTTTATTTTCTTATTTTTGCTGTTCTGTATTTTCTAAATTTTCAATTCATGCTAAATTTTATAAGAAAAGTAAGCTTTTGTAAAAACAAAAGATACGGGATTTTGAGAAATTGTCAGGGTTATTATATTGTGTGGTGACAATAATTTTAAATTTTATGAATAACTTTTTAAATTATACCTGACCAAAAAACACTTGGAATACACAGTAGACCCTTGTGTACTTTAATGTTCACAAGTATTTTACCTTAAGACCTCAGTTCCTTCGATTCAGTATACCATTTAGCATATGAATCTTTTATAAAATACATAACCAACTGTAAATAGAAAACAGTAAGTCCATTTTGAGATGCCCATGCTAAGTGATTGGGTAGACTCGCTCACCACCTACGTGGACCCCTCTTGCACACCAATCTGTCATCTTCTAAGTCATGCCTCTGCAAACTATAGATCATAGATCTTCAAAATTACTTCTAAACAATCAAATTTATTAATGTTATTTCTGAGAAGTTAATGAACCACTGTATTGAAAATAGAATCCTTAGTTGATTTATGTATGAGAATTCCACTATTATGACTAAAACAGTGAGACAGCTCATATGGTAAGATTTGTACCAGTTTTTTAAGCTAGGCAAGATCAATAATTCAAAACTCTTTAAAAAAAGTTTCTGTAAATAGACTATTGTGGTCACTATTGTTAGTATAGATATGAATTATAAAAGGACTTACAATTTTTGAGATGAAGTGTTTTAAAGAGCCAGCTCTCTAAGGACTTTTCATATATTATTTTCCATTTTTTAGTATTCTAATATGTAATGAATTACTTTTAGAGAAGTTATATAGTTATTGTGACAGTACTTGTGTTCACATAAAAATTTGTTATATAACAACTAATTTTTTCAACATTTTTGTTTATAGAGATACAAATTAAAATTTATAACTTCATGAATTTGTAAAGTTTAATTTTCTCCAGCTACGTCTTATTTTTGAAGGACAAGGGCATTTGGTTTAAAAATTTAATTTTCCAGAGAAAGATAAAATCTCCCCTTTGACACAATATAAGCAAATACACAATACAGGCAGATACAGGTAATATGGATTGCTGAGACAGTTATCTACTTAATTCATTCTAAAAGCCCCATTATTGAAGAAAAGGAGGCTTCAAATGTCGTATTAATCTTATGTAAACTGATGCTTTCCTCAGAATATAGCTGAAAACTAGCAATTAATCATAGAAGATTAGAGTTGAAGAGACCTTAGTTCAGATTCTTTAGTGCAACAGTTTTTGAACTTGTTGAAATTTATTTGTAAGCATAATTCTTCTTCCACCTCATTCACAACTCTCATAATAAAAACCACTGCACAAGCCATATCTGTAAGTGGAATGTCTCTGTTGAAGCCAAGATAGAGAAGACAGGCATTTCGCCTGCTCAGCAACAATCACCTCCCAGTAGGCAACTCTATAGTACCACTTCAAGTAGTGCCAAGGATCACAAATTGAGCCTTAATATATTTAAAATAATTAAAATTGTACAAAGTATGTTTTCTGACCATAAAAACCCAAAACCAAACCCATTGCTGTTGAGTCAGTTTCAACTCATGGTGACCCTATAGAACAGAGTTAGAACTGCCCCATAGTTTTCAAGGAGTGGCTGGTGGATTCGAACTACCAGCCTTTTGGTTAGCAGCAGAACTGTTAACCACTGCACAACCAGAGCTCCCTTGTGAGCATAATAATATTAAATTAGAAATCAAAAACACAAAAATATCTGAAAAAAATCCTCAAATATTTGTAATTAAAACAACACACTTCTTAATAACTCATGGGTCAAAGAGAAAGTCTCGGGGAAAATTTGAAAGTATTTTGAACTGACTGAAAAGTGAAATACAAGATATGAAAATTTGTGAGATGCAGTTAAAGCAGGGCTTAAAGGGAGAGTTATAGCATTAAAAGCTTGTATTAGAACAATCCAAATGTTTATCAACAGATGAATGATAAACAAAATGTAATATATAGATACAATGGAATGTTATTGAAAAATGAAGTCCTGATACATGCTACAATATGGTTGAACCATGAAAACCTAATGCTAAGTGAAATAAGCCGGACAAAAAAGGACAAATAGTTTGTGATTTCACTTATATGAAATATCTAGAATAGGCAAATGCATAGAGAAAGAAAGTAGACTAGTGGTTACCAGGGTCTCAGAAATGAGTTATTGCTTACTAAGTACAGAATTTCTGTTTCAGGTAATGAAAAAGTGTTGGAAATACATATTGGTAGTGGTTGCACATACAAACGAAAATTTTATATTAGAAAATAAAAAATCAAAAATAAAATCAATAATCTAAACTTCCTCCTTAAAACATTAGAAGAAAAGCAAATTATACCTAAAGCAAGCAGGAGGAAGGAAATAATAAGGATAAAAGCAGAAATCATTGAAATTAGAAACAGAAAACAACAGAGAAAAATCCAAAGGCTGGTTGTTTAAAAACTAATAAAATTGATAAACCTCTAGTTGGACTGACCCCCCCCACCCAAAAAAAAAGAGGGAAGACACAAATTACCAATATCAGGAATGAAGGAAGGCATTTCACTATAGACCCTGTATTTAAAGGACAATATGGGAATGGCATGAATAATTCTATGATCATGAATTTGAATAATGAGATGAAATGGACCAATTTCTTGAAAGAGAAAAGCTAACAAAATATAAACCTGTTAACCATTGCTGTCAATTCAATTCTGACTTATTTAAGAAGAAATAGATAACCTAAATAGTCCTGTATCTATTAAAGAGGTTGGATTAGTAGTTAAAAACCTTCCAACAAAGAAAACTCCAGGCGTAGATGGTTTCACTGTTGATTATGACCAGCCTTTAAGAAAGAAATAATAGTCCTACATAATCTTTTCCAGAATACAGGAGAAGAGAGAATACTTCCTAATTTATTTTATGAGGCCAACATTAGCTTGATACAAAACTAGAGTAAGGTATTACAAGAAAACTACATACCAATATCCCAATGTACATAGACATCAGAATCCTTAATAAATTATTAGCATATCAAACCCTAGAATGCAAGGATGTTTTAATATTTGAAAGTCTATCTGTGTATTTCATTTTATTAACAGTTTGAAGAGTAAAAAATCACAGGATCATTTCAACAGGTGTATTAAAAAGGCATTTGTCAAAATTCAGCATACATTCACGATAACTCTTCACTGACTAGGTATTAGAAGAGAACGTCAATAAAAGGCATCAAGTCTACAGCAGGGTTTCTTGACCTTGCTATTAATGACATTTTGGATGGGATAATGATTTAAAAACTGAACTTTGTTAAGATGTTAATTCTCTTCATATGTATTTATAGATTCAATAACATCTCAATCAAAATCTTACCAGGCTTTTTTATAGATAACTGATTTTAAAATTTACGTGGCTAGGCAAAGTAACTAGTCCTTGGGTGGTGCAAATGGTTAAGTGCTAGACTACTAACCTAAACCTTGGCAGTTCAAAACCACCTAGAGCCACCTTGGAAGTAGCCTGGCAATTTGCTTCTGAAATGTCATAGCCTAGAAAACCCTGTAGAGCTGCTCTACTCTGCACACATGGGTCACCATGAGTCAGAATGTCGACTTGATGGTACATAACAACTAGCAAAATAACAAGAATGGACAAAACAATTTCACAAAGGAAGAACAAGGTTACAGACTCACACTATCTGACTTCATGACTTAGTGTAACGCTATAGTAATCAAGACAGTGTGGTATTGGTGAAGGCATGACATAGATCAATGTAACAGAAAAGAGTGCCCAGAAATAGACCCACAGAAATATGTTTGACTGCTGTTTGACAAAGGTGTAAAAGCAATTCAATGGAGAAATGATTATCTTTTTCAACAAATACTGCTGAAAACAATTGGATATCTATAAGCAAAAA